CCCCCCAGGGATTGCGAGGTCTAATCTGAGTCCCCGTGGGGCGTCACTCCGCTGGCCACCCCAGCAACCCTCGAAAGTGACGACAGTCTCGCAGATCGCCGCCCCCCAGGGATGGCGAGGTCTAATCGGAGTCCCCGTAGGGCGTCATTCCGCTGGACCCCCCAGCAGCCCTCGAATGTGGCGACAGTTTCGCAGATCGCAGCCCCCCAGGGATGGCGAGGTCTAATCTGAATCTGCATGGTGCCTCACTCCGCTGGACCCACCAGCAGCCCTCGAATGTGGCGACAGTTTCGCAACCAGCAGCCCTCGAATGTGGCGTCAGTGTCGCAGATCGCAGCCCCCCAGGGATGGCGAGGTCTAATCTGAATTTGCGTGGTGCCTCACTCCGCTGGACCCCCCAGCAGCCCTCGAAAGTGACGACAGTTTCGCAGATCGCAGCCCCCCAGGGACGGCGAGGTCTAATCTGAATCTGCGTGGTGCCTCACTCCGCTGGACCCACCAGCAGCCCTCGACAGTGACGACAATTTCGCAGATCGCAAACCCCCAGGGATGGCGAGGTCTAATCTGAATCTGCGTGGTGCCTCACTCCGCTGGACCCACCAGCAGCCCTCGAAAGTCGAGGTCTAATCTGAATCTGCGTGGTGCCTCACTCCGCTGGACCCACCAGCAGCCCTCGAAAGTGACGACAGTTCGCAGATCGCAGCCCCCCAGGGATGGCGAGGTCTAATCTGAATCTGCGTGGTGCCTCACTCCGCTGGACCCACCAGCAGCCCTCGAAAGTGGTGACAGTTTCGCAGATCGCAGCCCCCCGAGGTCTAATCTGAATCTGCGTGGTGCCTCACTCCGCTGTCGCGAGGTCTAATCTGAATCTGCGTGGTGCCTCACTCCGCTGGACCCACCAGCAGCCCTCGAAAGTGACGACAGTTTCGCAGTCGCAGCCCCCCAGGGATGGCGAGGTCTAATCTGAATCTGCGTGGTGCCTCACTCCGCTGGACCCACCAGCAGCCCTCGAAAGTGACGACAGTTTCGCAGATCGCAGCCCCCCAGGGATGGCGAGGTCTAATCTGAATCTGCGTGGTGCCTCACTCCGCTGGACCCACCAGCAGCCCTCGAAAGTGGCGACAGTTTCACAGATCGCAGCCCCAAAGGGATGACGTAAAAGGCAAGAGAGAAGAGGAGGAGCGAAGAGAGGAGGAGAAGGGAAGCAAGAGAGGAGGAACGAAGAGAGGAGAAGGGATGCAAGAGAGAAGAGGAGGAGCGAAGAGAGGCGGAGAAGGGAAGCAAGAGAGGAGAGGAAGATGGAAGAGAGGAGGAGGAGGAGGCGGAAAACCCAAAATTATGGAAAATATGAGGAATTATTTTATTTGTGTGTATTTATTTGTGTGTCCTTGGGCCCCTTCCTCCTCCTCCTCCTCCTCCTCCTCCTCCTCCTCCTCCTCCTCCGCCTCCTCCTCCTCCTCCTCCTGGCGTCGCATTTCTTCCCAGCCGGCGTCTCAGCCCAGTTTCTCGGCGATGTACCGCCGACTCTAGGTCGACGGTCCCCCCCCCCTAAAACGACGCGAAGATCGGGACAAAATCGGATCGGGATAACTCGAAATCTCTGAGAATCGGCGGGTTTGGAGGATGTATTGGGCACCGCGGCCGCTCCAGAGCGTTCCGGAACGCTCTGAGAGCGCTCTGGAACGCTCTGGAGCGATTTATCCCGATCCTAGCCCTGTTTTACCCCCCCGAGCTGTGGCCCCCCCCAACGTTCCGCTGCGCAGGCCCGAGTGTGCCTGCCTCCCTCCCTCCCCTCCTTTGCGGCCGCCCTCGTTCGCTCCGCGCGGAAACATCTGCGGGATTTGCCCCAGCAGTGGCCCCATTCATCTGCACGAACGAGATGGGCACGGAAAGAATGGGTACCATGCTCAACAGCAGTTCCTGTTCATTTTGAACAGGACTCGCTGTCCGCGCCGCCGCGGCCTGTGTACATTTGAGACAGAAGGCCGCCTGCCCAACAGCGGCCCCTGTTGGTTTGGGACAACATTTGTTGTTGGGCATCGTACCCATTTTTTCGGTACCCATGTCGGGCGTCCAAAATTCAGGCCACGGGCGGGGCGTGACAAAAGGATAGTTTGCGCGCCCCCTTCAGTCCCTGGTAGCGTCGCGACTTGGGTTCTTTTCACGGCGCCCACGGAAGATTCAGGATCTCTCCCAGGGCCCTGCCTCTCTTCCTCTTTCTCCCCTGGCTTCCTGGGATCTCTTGGACTTGCGCTGGGCCTCCTTGACGGTGCCTCCGGCGCCGCCCCCTGGCCAGCTCCGCGCGCCAGGGGCCGAGGTCGGGCGCGGAGCCAGGATGTTTGCCTGCGCCGGCTTTGCACAGTTTGTGTCGATGCTGTTTTTCATCACAGCGGAGGCCCATGCCAAGAAACACCCTGCTTGTCTCCAGGGTGCCCCGGGTTTCTTGCTTTACGATGGTTTTTGCGATGGAAGGCGTAGAATGTTCCCATACCACAAACCAAAGGACGTCCAGGGGTCTCAGGGTTGGGTTTCCTGTGGAAGGTTTCTTGTGATCGGGCCTCCACTGTATTATGCATCATCCTTCTACTCCGACGACAACTGCGACTCCAGGAGGAGGCCCGGCGAGTAGAGGACTAGTAATCTCCTCCTCCTCCTCCTCCTCCTCCTCTTGCTCCTCCTCCTCCCCATCCTCCTCCTGCTCCTCCTCCTCCTCCTCCTCCTCCGCCTCCTCAAGTTTTGCGCGTGACCTGGTCCTTCAAAGCCAAACTATTTCCCAGCCTGCCCAACACCTTCTTGTCACGCGGAGGTCCGCCGAGAATGTGTCACACCTACAACGTGCGGCCCTCAGAGAACAGGCCCCCCAAAACTTACAATGCTTAGGACCCAGCCCCTGGGAGGGTAAATTCGGCATCGGCGCTGGTATGGACGAGGTCGGAAAGAGCGCGTTCCGTAGACGCTTGGAAGGGCGGACGGGGAGGGGGGGGCTCTTCCCTGAGTTGGAAGGGGGAGAGGACGTCGAATCGGAGAGGTGTGGCCCTCCTCGCCAAGGGGGAGGGGGGGGGTTGGAACTGCCCACCCCCCGCCCCAAGAAGGCCCCAGGACGGCCTATGAAGGCGCCAAAACGGCCCACGAGGGCCCCGAAAACACCCCCACAATGTTTCCGAATGCCAACATCAAGACCCCCAAGGCACCCCAAAAAGCTTTCCAAGGGGCGGCTGGTCTGCCATCGAGACGGACGCGGAGGGCAATTTGGTTAGAGGTATGCGAGGTAGTATCCCCAGCAGCCTGCCGCAGACCGCCGTCCTCACGGAACACCATGCCCTGATGAATATGGTAGAGCATATAGAGGCCGGCTCAGAGGACCAGCATTTTCACTTGGATTGCGCCGCTGTGGTTTGGGGAGCCCTGGACGTGACCCGTGGGACCCAGAAGAAGACGGCCCAGGCGGGCCACTGGCGGCGTATAAAGATCGCGGGGGCAAAAAACTGGTCGACCCATAAGGTGAAAGCCCATCTGAGTGAGGCCGATACGAACCAAGCCGCCTGGAAAACCCGTGGTAACACCTGGGCGGATGTTTTTGCCAAAGAGAGTGCGGGGGCTTTTTCCTCGGCCGTAGATGTTGCCAAGGTCACTGAAGCGCGCGAGAGTTTCTTTGCGGTGGCGATTGCCATGATAACTGTGCGTCAAGCGTGGACCAAGGCTCGTGATCTGTTCGGTGATCTGAGTAGAATCAAAGTTTCCGACCCATTAAAGGCTGCCTGTTGGCCCACGAGGTGCGGTGGGTGAGCAATAGGTGGCAATGTGTGAAATGTTTCCGATCTTTCAAGAATGGCCGTCGAGCGGACCTGTCTGAATGCGGGCCTATTCCCACCACCCTCCGTGCTTTTGTTGCCCCTCCTGTTCCTCCCTCGCCCGCTCACGAGCTCAGGATTGCGCGTGTGATTCATTATGGCCAAGGTTGTGTCTTCTGCCGTCGCTGTGGGTCTTACACCACGGGCCGCCAAGCAAAAGACCTGGTGGGCGGATGCACCAACCCCAAGCCGAAACAAGTTAAAATGCTGCTCAAGGGACAGCTGCCCAGACCCCGCGGCCCCCAGGGCCGCATTTCGCGGGCCTGGATTCCTTGTGATCTCGGTTCTGACTGGGGGGACCTCCTCAGCGGCGAGGCCCTTTTTTGAGCCAGCCCATATGTGATTGGCTTTTCTTCTCGCGTGGTTTAACCACGAGCGCCCTCTATGCTCATGGAGTGTGGTGGGTATCCTGTCTCGAGCGAAAACGATGATGACGACGGCGGCGACGACGACGACGTCCGAGCCTTAGTAGGATGCTATGGCTGGATTGCGCGCTAGTGTGATGCTACTAGAGCGGGATCGAGCTCTAGTAGGATTCAGCTCGAGCTTGATCCAGCTATAGCAGGACACGAGCCGAGGCATAATCCAAGTAGAACTGGACCCAGCCACACTCGGATTATAGTAGAGCTCGATCCAGCTCGATTAGGATGCTTTCGTAGGTATATCCAGCTGTACTAGGATTCCATTAAAGTTTGATCGAACCTTTGTAGGACTTGCGTAGAACTGGATCCCGTTACAGTTGGCTTCTATTAGAGTTGGACCGAGCCAGACTAGGGTGCATTGAAAGTTGGATCCAGATGCGATCGGCTTCTGCGCAAGGCTTTCCCCCTTGTGCAGGACCCCCACCCGGTTCGAACGGCCACCGTCCCTCGCATTCAGGTTTAATTCTCTTTAGTCCAGCTGATTCCCGCGCGTAATCCAGCTTGGTCGCTGGCGTAATCTGGGTTAGTGGCTTCGCAGTCGGGCTCAGACGCCATCGCTCGTTCTTGCAAGGTTGCAAGGACCTCCCAGGAATTGCACCCTGACGTCTACCTCCTCCCTCCCCTGCTCCGGCGACAGCTGCGAGGCGACGGCTGCGACGCCAGGAGGAGGCCCGGCGCGCGGATGGCGAGGAGGAGCAGCCCCGGCCCCCGCGGTGCTGGCCGCCAGGCCAACCCGTTCTTTTCCGGCATCGATTGGATCGCCATCCAGCAGCGCAGGGTGACGCCGCCCTTCAAGCCGAACGTGTCCCAGGCCCGCTGCGGCCCTCCGTCGTCGCGCGGGCGGTGCCAGGAGGAGGTGTCGGGGGGGGGAGGGCAGAGGGAGGGCGGGGGCAGGGAGGATGGGATCAAGGGAGGAAAGGGTGCTCCGGATTCCATAACAAAGTAGGGGGGGTCACATTTGGCGGGGTGGTCTGATTTGAGCTGTCTTGAAGGGTTAGGGGGGGTCTGGGCAAAGTGCCGCCCTTTCATGGATGGTCTGGGGGGTCTAAAACTTGTGGTCTGAGCGGCTTGTGACCCCTTCCTTTTTTACGAAATCTGGAGTGCCACTGCCGCTGCTCGTCCGGAAGAGCTGTCGTCGCCGTAGCTGCATTCTCCTCGGGGTTCTGGTCAGAACACCCCCCTGGGAGAGGCCCATGGCAGTGGGGGAAGGCGGAAATAATCATGAAAAACACATGCCGACACCGCTACTGTGGTACCGTTTTGCCTTTCTGGGCCTCCTGGGAGGCCCTCGTCGCTACGGTTGGATTCGCCTGGATTTCTGGTCAGGACGCACCTCAGGAGAGGTCCAGGGAATTGCGGCATCGGTGCCTTCTTGTTTCCTCAAGGATGGGATGGAGCAGGGAGGAAAGGAGGGAAGGAGGGGAGGATGAGCATGAATGTGGGAGAAGAGTCATGAAGGACAAGGAGTGGTAGGGAGGGAGGGGGGAGGAGAAAGGCGGATTAAAAGAGCGTTGGACGAGGATGGGGAGGCAGGGTGGATGAGAAGGACGCAGATGAGGATGGATGAGGAGGAGGAGACAGTTGGAGGAGGGATGAGGATGAGGCGGGGGTGGGAGGAGGTGGGAGGAGGATGGAGGGAATGAAGGAGGGTCATGAGGAACATGACAACGGGGGCGTGCAGGTGTAGGGCAGGAGCAGGATACAGATGAGGCCGACAACGAGGCTTGGCTCGAGGAGGAAGCAAGGAAGATGCAGCATCAGCGACGAAGGAGTTGGAGTAGGAGCCAAGTGAGCCAGGTCGAGCGAGTCAATGGGCCCCACCTGGTCCTACCCACCCCGCCTCAACACAAGGGTTCACGATTGTGGCACACCTGGATGCGTACTGGGATTGGAGCGCGGTCCCGCCTCGCAAGCGGAAAGCCCCCGCGCGCCGCCCCGCTCCCGACGACTTGGCGAGGCCAACATCCCCCGCGGGCCGCGCAGGGGCGGGCCGCCGCTCTCCCCCGCAGCGCCGCGTGGCGCTCGGGCGAAGTGCCGGCACCTCGCCCGCTCTCGCGCGGCCCCGCTGCGCCGCGGTCGCCGAGAGCGCGTGGTTCGGCGAGCGGGCCGTGCGCCGCGCCCCACGCGGGCAGCGCCCTTTTCGGGCGACATTCGCACGGAGCTCTGGCGACAAGGCGCCCACTAGGGGGAGTGCGACAGAGAACAGCATGCAGTGGGAGAGGTGGCAGTCTTTGCGTCCGTAGCTTGTTTCCCAGGCCTTCCTCTGTCTGGGTCCTCGTTTGTTTATGAAGCACGGCTGACCCCCATTCTTGTTCTCCTCCCCCCTCCTCCGCCTCTTCCTCCTGGTTTCCCTCCTCCCACCTCCTACCTCCTACGATGGGCTTTTGACTGCGCAACTGGCGCCACTTCTGTGTGCTCCGCAAGCCCAGACGAGACCCCGCTGTTCCCTGGGGCTGCTGCCCCTTGCGCAACCGGCGCCCCGCGGAGTGGCGTTGTGCACGGGCCCGCGAAAGACCTCGCGGCTGTTTGGAGGGCTGCCGCTCGCGTAACCGCCTCCGGTTTCAGGGGTTCCTGCGAGTGCAGTGCCACGCGTACCCCTGAGGGTGCGGCCACCTGCGCAGCGTCGGTTCTTCCCGTGGGCTCCTGGGAGGTCCAGCGGCGTGGTGCCGTGCACGCGCACCCCGGCTTCTCTGTCGCGGCTACCCTGCGGGTGCTGCCGCCAGTGCAGTGGGCGCCGTCTTCGGGGCCCCTCTGGGGGCCCCTCGCAGGGATGTCGTACGCGCACCCAGGGTAGACCTCGCGGCTCCCTGGCCCAGACATGATCGCGTCGTGAGAACATCAGGACGGAAGGTTTTGGCCATTTTCGGCCTCGGGGGGTCCTCGCCGGGCCTCGGGACCGTCAAAACACGATTCAGGATGAAAAACCGGTCCCAGGGAAAGGGTCGGGTTTCCCACGGACCCCGTCTTGAAAAATCAGGACGTCGGGTGTCTGTGGGGGCGTACTGCCACCTGCGCAAATGTCACCAGCTTCCCTGGGAGGCCCGGCGCAGTGGTGTCATACATGTGCATGCGGACTGGACCTCGCGGCTCTCCTGGGTGAAGATGCTACCGTCAACCCGCATAGCAAGGATGAGCAAACTCCCCAAGGGTACCCTTGCATCCTTGCTCCTTCGGCCCATCCTTGGCGACTTTCGCTGGCCAGCCTCCTTCGAAGGACGTTCACATGGGCCTCCAAGGCTCCTGCACCCTTACCGCGCATCCTTGTGATACGGGTGGACTGTACCACCGTCATCGTCGTCATTTTCGTTGACCCCTGGGAGGCCCTGCGCAGTCTTGCCATACGCATATGACGACGCTGCCCTGACGCACTATAGGGTACTGACTCGTGGATCGCGTACGCCCCCCCATTAGCTTTCGTGACACACTGCGTCGTGCCATGTTGCCAGTAGCACGGAGCGGGCCGACTGATATGGACATCTGTTCTGGATGGGTTGGTTGGGAACGCCTCGGACAGCTCCAACCCTCCTTTGTGGGGGTCCCCTGCTTTGAACTCGAGCACTGCTCGCGCACAGCATGCCCCATGTCTCCCACCTCTTCCCTCCTGCCTCCTACCCGCGTCCTTCCTGAGACCCAGACTGGCCCTCGCTGCTCCCGTGGGGATTGCCAACTGCGCAGCCGCCGCCGCCGCTTCCGTGGGCTCCTGGGAAGCCCAGCGGAGTGTGAGGGACACGCCGAGCCGGACCAGACCTCACGGCTCCCTCGGGGGCTGCGAACTGCGCAGCCAGGGCTGGACCTCAACGCTGTTCTGCTGGACTTCGGCTGTGTTCTGTTTTCGTTCTGGAAGGGAGGTGCAGGAACACAGGAAGAGCACAACGAAAAGCAAGACGAACACACCACGAAGAGCTACGTTGAGGTCCAGCCCTGTGCGCAACAAATGTTGTTGTGCCGGCTCCTGGGAGGCCCAGCGAGGTGCCGGAAGGCCCAGCGAGCGCGCGGCCTGGTCGTAGCCTAGGCTGGGTCGCATGTCCCTCTACAGGAGGAATATTCAGGGCCCATCGGAGTGCACGCGGATCCAGACGAGACCTCACGGCTCGCTGGGAGTGCTGCCACCTCTGTAATTCGCGTCGCTTTTTGTGGGCTCCCGGGAGGCGCCAGCCGCGTAGAGGGCACGCAAACCCAAACGAGACCTGGTGCGCAAGGGTCGTCACACTTCTGCTCGCTCCTGGGAGGCCCAGCGCAGTGAGGCCTACTGGCCTGCCGATGTCTCACGATCCGCCTTTTCCAGACTCGGCTGCCGATTTTCGCCGATCCGACTCCTTGCGATCGCCGCTCCGACTCATCGATTCGAGCCTGGGCTCTCCTGCCCTAAGGTACTCCTCCGCCTTCGGCCGCCCAGGGCCCCTCCCAGGCCCCAGGGCCGTGGACGAGGCGTCTCGGGAGGAGGAGCTCGTCGGCCGGGCACGGGACGGGCGTGCCCTGCGCCCTCTCTCCGGAAGCGGCCGCGGCGTCCGAGGCATCCTCTCTCGCCGCCGGATCTCGGAGATCCCCGGAGATGAAGGCCTGGGGAGGAGGAGGAGGACGAGGAGGAGGAGGAGGAGGAGGAGGAAGAGGAGGAGGAGGAGGATGTGGAGGAGGAGGAGGAGGAGGAGGAGGAGGAAGAGGAGGAGGAGGAGGAGGAGGATGTGGAGGAGGGGGAGGAGGAGGAGGAGGAGGAGGAGGAGGAGGAGGAGGAGGAGGAGGAGAGCTGGTCCAGAGGACGACCCCTGGGGCCCAGGGCCCGTTGACGCCTCGCCAGTCCTGCTCCCGCTCCCTCCCCGCTCCGCCGTCTCAACCGCTAACCCCGCGCCCGAGGGCGGAGACGTGAGATACTTCGACAGGGAGTTCGTGGACCTCCCCGTGGTCAACTCCGAGGCGCCCAGGGTCGACGAAGACAACACGGCCTAAAACAGAAACTCCTGCCGCTCCGCGCGGATTCCTTGGATCTGCGCTGCGCCCCCCCCCGGGCGGCGCCTCGGGCGCCGCTCCTGGCGCGCACTCCGCGCGCCAGGGCGAGGGGCCCAGCGCAGAGCCAAGAACGCCGCGCGGAGCGCCAAACGTTTGTGCCTAGCTGGCGCTTTTGTTCTGCTTCTGGAGCCGCCCAGACGGTGTTGTTGCGTTTTTGTTGTTTTCTGAGCGTTTTTTTTTTTGCGTTTTTTCCAGAGGCGCCCAGGGGGGAGGGCCAGACCTGGGCGCGGCCACTCCGAGGGGGGGGGGGGGGCGGCCGGGGAGGCGCAGGGCAGCGGCCGAGGTGCCGGGCCGGAGGCGGACGCGGCAGGGCCGCGGAGCCCAGAGGCCTCCCGCCTCGCGCCGGGGCGCGACGCACGGCTCCCGCCTCGCCTCCCGCCTCGCGTCGGGCCGCCTTCGGCTTCGGGGGGCCTTCGCTGGGCCGCGGGACCGGCAGCAAACCGGCCTGTCGCCAGGGGAGAAAGCAGCACCAGCACCAGCCTCGAACTTATCCCTGTCCCTCAGATGGACACGCTGAAAGGAGATGACAATCTTAGGGATACGCCCTCAGCCTCAGAAACTGAGGAAATCCCTGAGATCGCCATCGTGATGAGGCGATGCCCAACATAGGGATAGGGATATGTTCCAGGCTGGTGAACACCAGCTCCAGCTAGGGGGATGGACGCCCCCCCCCCCGAGCTGCTGGAGAGGCCCGTTCCGGGCGCGCCCCCAGAAAGTGCCCAGAACGGAGTGCCACCAGCTCGGGAGGTGTTTTTTTTGGGGGGGGAAGGGAATTCTATGGAGTTCTGGTGGTGGTGGCTTTTTTTGCTCTCATGAGCCTGGGGAAAGGTGATGGGCTTTTTTTCCACCACCGCCACCACCACCACCACCACCATAAGTTGGAGGGGGAGGGTGTCCTCCTCCTCCTCCTCCTCTTCGTCTTCCTCCTCCCTCCCCCTCCAACTTATGGTGGTGGTGGTGAAAACAGACCCATCAAAAGGGTTGGGACTGCCAGGGGAGCCCCGTGCGGGAAACATGTCACCGGGAGGCTCCCGCGGCGCCCCCCAGGGGCGGTCGGCACTCCCCGCGGGAGCCATGGTCGTCGGGGGGGACGGGGACGGGGGCGGGATCAGTCGGCCATGCGCAGATGGGGGTGGGGTGAGGGGGCAAGGCTTCTTAGGATCGAAGAAGACAAAACGACATAAACCTACACTTTTGGCTCTCCGCGCGAATTTCTTTGCTCCGCGCTTGCCCCCCTTGGCGGTGCCTCCGGCGCCGCCCCTGGCGCGCTCCGCGTGCCAGGAAGGGGGGGGTCCAGCGCAGAGCCAAGAATTCCGCGCTTAGCGCCAAAAGTGTATGCTTATGCCGTTTATTCTAGGGAAGGCTTCTTGGAAGCACCCCTGCTTCTTAGAAGGCGCGGGCCTGATCTCTGGATCGAAGGCCCGCGCCCTCTAAGACGCAGCCTCCTCCTGAGAAGCCTTCCCCCCTCCACCTACAGTCGGGGCCCTGAAGAAGGAACCCTTTTCGTTGGGGAGGGGCTCCGCGTTCCTGAAGTGTTTCACAGCTTGCCTCAGGTTTTCCTTATGTTTTCGACAGGAAATCGAAGTTTAACCTATGGAAACAAGGGGCCTCGTTCCTTATTTAGGGTTCCTTAGGTCAACGCCCCGACTGTACCCCCTTGTGCGCGCCGCCAAACAGCCCGGGGCGAGGGCCGCCTCGCGGATTCTGCCGATTCTCTGGGCGGGGCCGATTCTGCCGGTGTCGCCGCGGGTTCCTGCCGTTCGCGGCAGGCGTCGCGCCTGCCTGGCAGCGGCCGCTGTCGGTGGTGGACGGCGTTCGCGGATGGCGGGGGGATCCGTGACGGAGGTGATCCAGCCTCCGTCTGCCTGGATATATATATATATATATATATGTACATATCATCATATTCCTCCTCCTCCTCCTCCTCCTCCTCCTCCTCCTCCTCATCATCATCATCATCATCATCATCATTGCGGTGATGAGATTTTAGGGGGGGCTCGAACGGCATGAGCAACTGTAAGTGCCCCATTCGAAGACGCGGGGACTTGGCGGCCGCGGATAGGCGTGAGGCTGATGATGTGCCCACGAAGGTCATCTTGGCCGTCTGGAGGCCATTTTGACCCTTTCGGGCCTTCTTGGAGGAAGTCTTGGAGGGCTCTTGGGCCGTCGTGGAGGCCATCTTGAGCGTCTGGGAGGCCTCTTGGGCCGTCTTGGGGGCCTCTTGCGGCCGTCTTGGGCCTCTTGGGCGATCTTTGGGGGCACTTGGGCCGTCTCGGGCCGTCGGAAGGCCGAAACGAACACCTAGGGAAAATCAGTGTTTTTGGTTTTTCTGGCCTTCCTGGATGCCCTTGTGGAGGCCTCTTGGGCCGTCTTGCACCAGCTTCGAGCCAACTTCGGCCATCTTGATGGGTTCCTGGCACGTCTGACGCCGTCGGAAGCCGTTGGGGGGGGGCCTTTCTGGGCCGACTTGGGGCCCTCTTGGGGTGCTCCAGGGCCGTCTTAGAGGCCATCTTGGGCGTCTTGGAGGCCTCTTGGGTCGTTTTTGTGCCTTCTTGGGGCCGTCTTGGGGGCCTCTTGGGCAGTCCTGAGGCCATCTTGGAGGCATCTTGGGCGCTGTGGGGGCGATCTTGGGGGCCTCTTGGGCCGTCTGGGGTCGTCGGAAAGCAGAGAAGCAGCGAATGCGAAAATCCTTGAAACACTAGAGGGAAATCAATGACTTTGGCCTCTTCTGGCCCTCCTGGAGGACCTCTTGGAGGCCTCTTGGGCCGTCTTGGAGGCCTCTGGGGGGCCTCTTGGGCCGTCTTGGACTCTCTTGGGCCGTATGGGAGGCCGTCTTGGACTATTTTGGGCTGACTTGGAGGCAATCTTGGACCATCTTGGAGGCCATCTTGGGCCAACGTGGCCATCTTGGAGACCATAGGGGGCCATCTTGAGCGAACAACTCTGAGAATTGCGGGCCTTTCGGGTGGCCGGCGGGACGGGCCGACGCCCCAGGGGGAGTTCTTGTGGAAAAAGAACCACAACAAAAGCCGTAATAATTTGGCACGCCAGGCACCCCTGCGATGAATCGACAGGGGGCGGCGGATCGAAGACGCCTACGGCGAATCACCGCCGCCCCCTGCCTTTTTGCAAGCGCCATCGGACCATGTGTTCCCCGAGTCGGTTTGGAAAGCCTTCGGGGAACACGTGGGCATCTTGAAGGTCATCTTGGCCGCCTGGAGGCCATTTTGACCCTTTCGGGCCTTCTTAGAGGGCGTCTTGGAGGGCTCTTGGGCCGTCTTGGAGGCCATCTTGAGCGTCTGGGAGGCCTCTTGGGCCGTCTTGGGGGCCTCTTGGGGCCGTCTTGGGCCTCTTGGGCGATCTTTGGGGGCACTTGGGCCGTCTCGGGCCGTCGGAAGGCCGAAAAACAGCAAATGCCACAATCCTTGAAACACCCATGGGAAATCAATGATTTAGGACTTTTCGGGCCTTCCTGGAAGCCCTCTCGTAGGCCTCTTGGGCCGTCTTGGGCCATCTTAGGGCCATATTCGGCCGTCTTGGTGGACTCCTGGTCCGTCTGACGCCGTCGGAAGCCGTTTGGGGGGCCTCTCTTTGCCGACTTGGGGTCCTCTTGGAATGCTCCAGGGCCGTCTTGGAGGTCATCTTGGGTGTCTTAGAGGCCTCCTGGGCCGTCTCGGGGGCCTCTTGGGGTCGTCTTGGGGCCCTCTTGGGCAGTCCTGGGGCCATCTTGGAGGCCTTTTGGCCGATCTTTTGGGCGATCTTTGGGAACTCTTGGGCCGTCTCGGGCCGTCGGAAGGCCGAAAAGAAGAAACTGTCAAAATCCTTGAAGACCCATGGAACATATATGTTTTTGGCCGGGCCCTCTTGGGGGCCCTCTTGGGGGCCTCTTGGGCCATCTTGGGGGCCTCTTGGGCCGTCTTGGGCCGTCGGAAAGCCGAAAAGGCGCAAATGCCAAAATCCTTGGAACACCAAAGGACAATCAATGATTTTCGCATTTTCGGGCCTTCCAGGAGGACCTCTTGGAGGCCTCTTGGGCCGTCTTGGAGGCCTCTTGGTAGCCTCTTGGGCCGTTTGGGCCATCTTGAGGCATCTTAGGCCGTCTTGGGTGCATCTTGGGCCGTCTTGGAGGCATCTTGGGGCCATCTTAGCCGTCTTGGAGGCCATCTTGGCCGTCTTGGAGGCTGTCTTGGGCCATCTTGGAGCCGTCTGGAACGGAACAACCATTTGCAGCCACCTCTGGAAGATCTTTTGGCATCCTTCCGGGTGGCCGGCGGGACGCGCTGGGGCCCCAGGGGGTGTTCTTTCGGAACAAGAACCAAAACCAAATCGTAAGAAGTCCAGCACGCCGGGTACCCTTGTGATGAATCAACAGGGGGCGGCGGATCTTACGGCAGTCGGCCCATCCCGCCACCGTGCCTGGATTGTGGGCCAGAGTTCTCAGCGATGTTTCTGGGGTCTCGTTCGAGCGCTCTCGGGGGCTCTTGGGGGCAGTTTTGGGGCCTCTTTGGAGCCCTTTTGGGCCTCTCGTTGGCCCCTCGGGGTCCTCTTGGGGGCCTCTTGTGTGCCACTTGGGGGCCTCTTTGGGGCCTCTTTTGGCCAACTGGGGGCCTCTTGGGGTGGAGCCTCTTGGGCAGTCTTGCGGCCCTCTTGGGGGCCTCTTGAGCTGTCTTGGAGCGTCGGGAAGCCGAAAAAGCGAGCCTCCTGTGGCCCTTTTGGGACACCTCTTGGAACACGCTTGGGGCGTCTTCGGGGGCCTTGGGCCGTGTTAGGCCATCTTTGGCGTGTTAGGGCGATCTTTCGGCAATTCGGGGCCCTCTTGAGCTGGTCTTGAGGGCCTGTTGGGGTTCTCTCGGCCCGTCTTGGGGCCTCCTGGGCCCGAGCAAGTCTCGCGGGGAAACGCGGGGGAGCCCGGGAGGCACGCGTCAAGCCCAAGGAGATTTGGCAATTTGGGGGTCGGGGCCCTTCAAGAACCCTCGGGATCGAGGATTGAGGCTTCATTCGAGGATTAGGCAAGGGACCAAGGGCAAGGTGGCGGGTGATTCGTAGATTCTAGGAACCTACCACTGTTGGGGCACATCATGCATGCGGTCGATGCCCTATTCGAAGGCCTATAGAGGTTCCCACCAACGCCAACCTTGCCGCTGCGCCTCCACCAAGGGAGGATGATGCCGACCTCGGTGATGGTGGTAATCTTCGGGCTTCCTATGTGGCCGAATGGTTACTACCGACATCATGTGGGCTCAGCTTCCTCCGGTGGAGGCACTCGTGTTGGTGTTGGTGCCCATGCCTATGCCTCCAGATAGACACGATTTCTTGGAGTTCCGCACGGGTTTCTTGGATCGGCTCTTAGCCCCCTGGAGGCGCCTCTGGCGATGCCCCTGGCGCGCTCCGCGAGCCAGGGAGGAGGGTCCAGGCGGATGCAAGAATTCCGCGCGGGCATCAGAGGAAGTATGTTTATGCTTTGTTCTGTCCCTCCAAAATTTGGAGATTACGAATCATGGCTCCTCCTCTGCTCTTCCTCCTCCTCCACCAAACTGTTCATGGCCTCCAAGCTCGGCCTTGATGGGGTGCCCCCCTCTGGACTCTGCCACGTGTTCGGTGCCAGAAGTCGACCTCGTCCGTGGGCTCGCGCTGTTTGGATTCTCCTCCCGTGCCTCGGCTGAAGTGCTGGGGCGGTGGGTCCTTGAAAGGAGGAAGCACGAAACCGACCATCTGGAGGACGGGTTTAACTTGCTTTATGTAGCTGGTGCATGTCAATTGAGCGGCTGGTGCCGCGCCACCTCTTCCAACAGGTGCAAAGCTTGCGCGTCCGATTGCCCCGCAAACGATGTGTCAAGTCCTGCAGCTGCCCTTCGGGCATCTAGGTCATCCAGGAATGCCCAGTCTGTGGGCAGAGAACGATTCGACGCGATGGGATGGAATGGGGGGATGGGTTGGATGTTTTAGATGTGGCGCGAGTGCGCGTAGCTTGCCCCCCCCGTCTCTTGTCTCCCCGATCTGTCACCTTCTACCCGTCGTCGTGCCACCCGACTCCGCTCGAAATCACTCCCCCGGACCTCTCCCCGCCCCCACACCCTGATCGCTCCCTCGAGCCGCGTCCAACCGTGGCGACGAGAACCTTGAGAAACGCCGAGAATCGCCCGAACCGACGACGACGACGACGTCGCTCTACAGAGGCGGCGTTGGGGCATTGAGCCACCTGCATTAAGACGCCCAGTGAGAGAGCGAACGCTGTTCTCCCCCAGACCAGGTCACGGAGGGCAAGGACATTCGTGACGCGCAGCACTTCGAGGGCTTCACCTACCAGGCCTCGGACGCGACCATCTGAGGTCGGCTCGGCCTGCGGGGCGGGGCCTCATCATTGTCGTCGACTGCAGCACCCCCCTGCTGGGGCATCCGCAGTGCGTCGTCGTCGGTCGCCGTCGTCGTCGTCGTCGTCGTCGTCGTCGTCGTCGTCGTCGTCGTTGTCGGTGGTCGTCGTCGTGGTCGCCGTCGTCGTCGTCGTCGTCGTAGTCGTCGTCGTCGTCGCCGTCGTCGTCGTCGTCGTAGTCGTCGTCGTGGTCATCGTCGTCGTTTTCGTCGTCGACAACTCAGCGGGCATGAGCAGCACACCTGCCCCCTCCCGCATGAAGCATCCGCAGCGCGTCGTCGTCCGCCGTCGCCGTCGCCGTCGCCGTCGTCGTCGGCGTCGTCGCCGTCGCCGTCGTCGTCGTCGTCGTCGTCGTCGTCGTGGTCGCCGTCAACGTAGTTGTCGTAGTCGTCGTCGTCGTCGTCGTCGTCGTCGTCATCATCGTTGTCGTCGGACATTGTAGTGGAGGGGAGGGAAGGAGAAGAAAAAGGAGTAGCCCTTTCCGCCTGCCTTTTCCGCTCCTCCCCCTATCTTTTTGTTATGTGTAGCCATGTTGACACTGCCCGCCAGCCGAGGCGCCTCTTCCCGCCTCAGTTTTGTCTCCTGTTTGTCGCCATTTTGGCCGAAACGCCCCGCTATATCGGAGGCGTTGCTGTCACCCTCCGTTGAAGCAGCGCCGTTTGCGTCGCGCCTGTCGCCCCTCTGCCGTCGGCCTGGTGCCGACGCTAATTGCCAGCGTTGCCGCGGTGCGTTTCAATTTGGCGGGCGTTTCCCCTGCGATTCGCCCGAGCATTTGTTCAGCAAAATCACACGCATCCCCACGGATTTGTTAATCACAAGGTGACATTGCACCCTCCCTCCGGACTCTTCCTTCGTAGGTTTTTGCAAGGATTTGTCTTCATTGCGGGAAAAGCCCCGTTGTCAGACAACCGTCTAGACCACCTCACCCGTGCCGAAGCACCGTTCCTGGGTCGTCAACGCCGCGAATCAACGTAGTGCTGCGACCTGATGGTCTGAAATCTTGTCAGGACAGCGTTTCTGGGACGCCACCACCGCGAATCAATGTGAGGGTCGCGCCCTGGCAATCCGAAGTCGTGCCAAATCATGTGTTCTGGGACGTCAGCCGTAGGACTCCTTGGAATTGCTGTAAATTGTTAGCATGAAGATGCGCGGCGCTACGGCGCGAGCCACGTTTTGAAAACGATCCGCCCTCCGTCCATGAAGATGTGGAAACTGTCAAGCTTCAGGAGCATAAGAGGGCCCGGAAGTCTCGAGCGAAGCACCCGGCCCACCCGACCGACCCGCCTCGGTTTGCGATCCCGATCCCCATATATATATATATATTCATCCACATCCCGATCCCCGCCGTCCCACCGACCCGGCTGGGGAGATGCCCTTCGGAACTCGAAGGGAATTGCCCAGATCCCCGTCTGGGTGGGTACCAATTGGGCTCAGGCAGCGCCCGTTGTGATATGCATCGGTTAAACTATGCTCAAGGGCAGGATCATGATGGCGGAGGAGGGTCGTGGGAGGCAGAACGAGGAAGGTCCACAGGAGGGACGATGATGGTGGTCGTGAATATGATGGTGACGGTTGTGGTGATGATGATGGTATGGTGGTGGTGGTCGTGACGATGACGACGATAATTATAATGATGATGGTGTTGTTGATGTTGATGATGACGACAACGATGATGTGGATGATACTGTTGATGATGGTGACGATGAGGACGGCAACGATGATTATATTCCATGCAATGCTGACGAGATGATGCCGCTGGCGCGATGATGATGCTGATGTTGGTGATGATGGTGATGTGATGGTGATTATGATGATAATGCTGCTGATGCTGATGCAGGTGATGATGCTGCTGAATCTACGAGGTTGATAATGCTGACGATGCTGGGGAGGATGGTGACTATGAGGAGTGGGAGGATCAGGATCTTGATGACGACGGTGATGGTGATGATGAGGAGTAGGAGGAGGACGAGAAGGAGGAGGAGAAACATGAGGAGGAGGAGAAGCAGGAGGAGGAGGAGGAGGAGGAGGAGGAGGAGGAGGATCAATAGGAGGAGCGCGATACAGAGGGCACGAACGCTGCCCGTGTACCTAGGTGCCCAGTCGCCGTCCACAAAGGGAGGGGGACCGCGCACACCGCACCTCCGGCCCCGCGACCTCCTTCCCCGCGGCCTCCCGGAACGCGCTCGCCCCCACAACTTCGGACCGACCCCGTCTCCGGGCCGCCTACATGGGGTCCGAGTGGAGGGGGTCGGGGGATCGCGCCGCATCGCCGCAGCATCGACGGTGCGGCCCAGTGTGGAGGCCGTGCTTCCCCACGCCGACGGCGCCCAGGCGTCGCCGACGTCGCCGATGCATCGGTGATGCACCGGTGATGCATTGGCGATACGGTGCGGTCCTCCGACTCCATCTGCTCGGACCCCATCTAGGAGGCCTCTATCGTCGCCCCAGGCCGCCACAGCATGGCTCGCTGCCCCCCCCCTCCCCTACAGTGGAGACCCATGCCAGGAAGCACCCTGCTTGCCTCCAGGGTGGGTCTCGATGGTTTTGCGACGGACAGCGTGAGGTTCCCACACCAAAAGCCATGGACGTCCTGGGGGTCCAGGGTTGGGTTTCCTGTGGAAGGTTTCTTGTGGTCGGGCCCCTTCTGTACGCGCCCAAGGCGGAGGAGGAAAGGAAGCGGATGGCGTTGGAAAGATAGTCAGTGTTGTTCTAGGCCTCCCAGATGGGATCGGAGTGGATGGGGTCGGAGGATCGCGCCGCATTGCCGATGTGTCGGCGATGCGGCTGGATGTGGAGTCCCCTTTGCTCTGCGCCCGCGTCGCCGATACGTCGCCGATGCAACGCCGATGCATCGCCGATATATTTGCAATGTGCCGCGACCCACCGACGCCGTCGACTCCGACCCCATTGAGGGGGCCTCGAGACGTGGCGCCGCCAGCCTTGGGGATAGCGTGGAGGAGCCCTGCAAAGGGGATAGCGTTCACAGTAAGGGCCCTCGCGGGGGGATCGCCTCGCAGGGATGGCGTGCTTTTCGGAGATGGACGTTGCACGATGTCTTCCCACCGCCAACCGTACTCATACCGCGGCTCAGCCCGGAGAGCCCTTGTCGCCACCGCCGGTTTCTCCCCGAGATTCTGGTCAGAACGCACCCCGGAGGAGGCAACGGTAGAGGGGGATAGGCTCAGGGAGGAATGCATCGACCCCCCCTCGCCCAGTGATCGCCGATGATCGCCGATTGGGGCCCCAGAGCCCCACCCGCCCATGAACGTACGGACTCGCTATCAGAGGCCGAGGCCTCTTGCCGATCCGTCGGCGATGTCTCGCCGATTCCAGAGGCCGATGCTGCCCCCCCTCGAGCCGGTACGCCCCGGGCGCTGCCCCTCACCCCTGGGGAGGTCCGGGCAGTGGCGATACCCGCTCCTCCTCCTCCCAAGGCCGGCGACGTTGTTGCCGGTCGCGGCGCCCGGCGGTCTGTGCGTCTTTAGCTCGCGGGTGGGCTCGGTGTGCATGCCGCATCGCCCGGCAGGGCAGGGAGCTCGAGGAGCTCGGCAAGGGAGTTCTGTGTCTGGATGATCCAGTCTGCCCCGAGATCCCGGCGTCGCATCTTCTCTGTTCGCACTGGGCGGTTTTGCCCAGTTTCGGGCAGCGGGGTCCTCGCAGAGGGAGCAGGCTCGAGAAATGGAAGGCTTTGGTGGGCTGGTTTTCCACCGCCACCACCAGCAGCAGGAGGGGGAGGGGGTCCTCGTCCTCCTCTTCTTCCTCCTCCACATCCTCCACCTCCTTCCCCCCTGCAGCTCATGGTGGTGGTGGTGGAAAACAGGCCCATCACGCTTGGTCTGTCTAGGCAAAGATCTATCCATAACGATAGCCTGGGGGATTGATCTTCGGAGATCTCGGCAGGTGTTGGATACAAACTTATTCGGGCCGCTGTGGCCGAAATGTGTATACTATAGATATAGATATACTGCCCGCGTTCGCCCGCAGGCGGTGGACATGGTTATGTCCCCGCCTCGCAGTCTTGGGCCCTGGTGGTATTTTTGCTTTGGGATGTTGCATGTTTCTGCGACGTGGGATCTGTTTTTTTTCGCAGGGTGCGTCCTGGGAGCCCTCGGACCCAGAATGATGGTTTTCCTGGACTCATCGCGAGAGTGCAATCGCTCCTGCATGCACGGCATCCTGCGAGGCCTCTGAGGCAAGCGCCTGTAGAGGGACAGTGCTGCCACTGCTGCCGAACGTGCCCTCCGGCCTGTGCTATAACGGTCCTGCAACCTTCGTGCCAACATCTGGATTTGGAAGGATCTCCCCATGATTGTTTGCACACCTTGCGCCTCCTGTAGTCTCGACCCCTTCCCCGGCAACGGCCAACCTTCAGTCGGGCATGTCCCTCTACAGGAGGAATGTTCAAACATAGTATACACATAATATGGGGATAATTCCATGACAATGTTTGACTATGCTTGAATACCTATTGACTATTTCAAATGCTTCCTTGAAACTCCGCCTGTAGGAGGACATGCCCAGCCTAAGCCTAACCTGGAGAGCAGTCTTCCGACGCCCCGGGGGACCTCCAGGGCCACCCTGGCAGCCGAACAAGCACCTCCCGTCGGGTTTCCGAGCGAGTTCTCGCCACGTGGGCGGTGGGGGTGGGGTCTGGGGACCAGACTACGCGGTGCTTACCTCGAGCCCCCACTCGAAGAGGAACCAGTGCCATAAACATAAACTTTTGGCGCTCCGCGCGGACTTCTTGGACCCGGCGCCGCTCCTGGCGCGCTCCGCGCGCCTGGGAGGGAGGTCCAGCGGAGATCCAAGGAAATCTGCGCGGAGCGCCCAGAGTTCCTGTTGATGGCGGTTTCTCTTCTTGAGATAGTTTTCTTATTCATTGTTTTGGCGATCGGCGCGGGCCTTCGCACCCCCCCTTGTCCTCCCCTCCTCTGGAGTGGATCTTGGCTGTTTTTTGGCGCCTGTTTCGAGCAGGTGGAGCCTCCATAGGACGCTCTGCTGCAAACAGTTGCACTGAGCATAGATCCAGAGCCAGACCCCCCCCTCCCGCCCCCTTCCGCCCAATAAACGCCGAAGAAGAAAACGTTGACCTTCCAGTCTGGGTTCCCGGGTTCCTGGTTATTAGTTCTGGTAGTGGGCTGGGTTCCCGGGTTCCTGGTTCCGGGTTTCCGGGTTCCTGGGTATTGGTTCCGGGCCGATTTCGGTGGGTTGCGGGTTCACGGGCTCCCGGGTTCCCGGTCGATCTCCTTATCGATCGTTTTATCGATCCCATTCCAAACCATTCTTAAATCGGGTTTTTTTCTCTGGTGTAGTCTATGCTTCCCGTCCGGGGACCAGGCGACGCGGTGTTTGCCTCGAGCCCCCACCGAGTGGCCAGATTTGGAGCGCAAGAGGGCCCGCGGCGCCTCGCCTCGGCACGGTCCCCGTCAGGCAGGCCCGGCGCGCTCCTCGCCTCCTCGTGCGGCGAAAGCGCGCATTGTCGGGGCGCGCGTCGGCCGAGCGGCAGAGCGCGGGCGTCAGGTTCGGCGCACCGGGCGGGGGGGAGGCAGGATGATGGTGGTGCGGATGATCAGGGGGACGAGCAATGACACAAGCATAATATGCGGAGGTCCGCGCGGATTTCCCGGCTCCGCGCTGGGGCCCCTTGGCGGGCGCCTCTGGCGCGCTCCGCGCGCCGGGGAGGGGGGCCCAGTGTGGATCCGAGAAATCCGCGCGGACCTCACAGTTTTTATGCTAATGGTTTATGCAATGTTTCGTTATGGTGGTGCGGATGATGTCGACGGTGGTGGTGGTGGTGGTGATGTCTGTGCTGGTTGTGATGGTGGTGATGACGGTGATGCTGATGGTGTTGGTGGTCGTGCTGGTGGTGGTGGTGGCGGTGACGTTGGTGATGGTGATGCTGTTGCTGATGTTATGTTCGCGATGGTGGTGGCGATTGCCATGGTGAAGGGCGAAGGTGATGATGACGGTGGTAGTGATGATGATGAAGATTGTGATGATGGTGTTGGTTTTTATGATTCATGGTAGTTGGGCTGACGATTACAAGGAGGAGTCGGGGGAAGGAGAGGAGGTTTGAGGATTGATGTTGTCCTCTTCTCTTACGTATGGGCCAGATTCGATGTGTGACATGCCGCCGCCTGCTCATCCAACTCATTGCCTACTCGGGCTCACTTGCACTTAGACTTACTCGCACTGAGACTACTCACAGCCAGGACATACACACTTAGATCCACGGACACTCAGACACACTTATACTCACACAGTTACCTCAGACCACTCACGCTCAGATCCACTATTGCACAGCTTAGGCATACTTCGAGTCTCACACACGCAGACCACTTACACTCTGATCGCGCACACTCAGCCACACTCATACTCAGAGTCACTCACGCTCAGAACCCACTCACCGTCAGACAACTCACATGCATGTTCACTCGTACTCAGCTCAGTCATACTTAACTCATGCACTCGGACCCCAGGCACTAAGATCCGTCAGTCTCAGACTCTCAAAGAGTCAGACACACTCCTGTTAATACTCACTGCCACGATCTCCACGCTGCAGCAGGCATATTTTTGGGATACCCCAAGGAGGGGGGCCGTCAGGGGGTAGGACGCTTGCCCGTTTGCGGCCAGACTGAGTGGACGTCTCAGGCGAACGCTCCTTGTGGCTTCACCGACTCTTGTCTTTCTTGAGCCCATGATCACCTAGCAGGCATAGCACTTGGGCGCCCCAAAGGGGAGCTGCCAGGGGGTAGGACACTTGCCCGTTCTTGGTTAGACTGTGTGGGTGTCGTGGGCGGAACGCCTCGTTTGGCTTCATCGACTCTTGTCCTTCCAGGGCCCCATGATCACCGCGAAGGCGCGGGCACATCATCTGGGCATCCCAAGATTGAGCCGCCGGGGTCTGGGACACTTGCCCGTCTGCGGCCATACTGCGTGGACGTGTCGGGGGACGCCAGCACAGACCTGCGCAGACACCAACAGGCACCAGCAGACTCCAGCCGATAGCAGCAGCCAGCAGCGACTCTACGGGCACCCCACTTCGGACGGGGCTGGGACGAGGATAACTCCGTTACAGAGCGTTGCGGAGCGTTCTCGGAGCGTTCCGGAGCGCCCTGAAAGGCCGCGGCGCCCGCGGCGTCCTCCAGAGCCGCGGGCTCTCAGGGATCCTCGACGCATCCCCGTCCGAAGTTGTCCTCGGCCTGGCTTCGTCTTGCCAATGGGGAGCCGCCAGTGGGTAGGATGCCTGCCCGGCCGCGGCCAGACTGGGGATGTCTCGAGCGAGGCGCCTGCTTTGCACCTCTGACGCCTCTTCTCAGGCCCAGGATCACCGCGAGGCAGCAGGCATGGCACTGGAGCTCCTCAAGGGGGCCCCCTTGAGGTGCCTCAATGACACGCCTGCTCCGTTCCCAGGGCTTTCCCGAGGGCTCATTCAAGGGGCCCCTTGGGTGTCTATAGCTGGTGACAACTTCGGTCTTCGAAACAAGGACCCCGTCATTTTCTGTTTCTGTGGCCCCCGTGGGGATCTGATATAATTAGCCAGCCCTCAGGGGGAGCCGACGGAGAGTATCATACGGCGGCAGAGAGAAATCAACACACGCCGGCAGAGTGAAGCTGAGGGGAGCGCTTACGCTCGGACTTGCACACACTCGGTCAAACTCGCGTTCAGATTTGCCTACGGTGAGGAGGTGGAGGAGGAGGCAACAGGAAACTGAGCAATGAGGATCGAGCGAGAGCGAGAGTCGATTATCGATACGATCCTCGATTTTTCTCGAAGTTCCTATCGCATCGCGCACTGTTGGAGGAAGAGTAGGTCGAGGGGGAGGAGGAGCAGCGTAAACCCAGGGCAACGATATTGCGATCAACCCTCCAGGTTCCCTCTTCACATTCGGCTCCTGTTTGGACTTATTTTCATTGCGCGAAGAGTCCCGTGGGAAGACAACGGTCTGAAAAAACCCCACCGTGCCGACGCACCATTCTTGGGACTGCAACGTCGCGAATCAGCGTTACTATTGCGACCTGGCGATCCTAAACCGTGCCAGAGCACCAGTTCTGGGGGTTTCAGCACCGCGAATCATCATGACCATCGCGCCCTGACAATCCTAAATCGTGCCAACACGCAGTTCATGGGACGCCAGCCATGATAATACTTGAACATGTTGCGAAGTGTTACAACGAAAGTGCGCGACGCAACATGTGAAAACCACATGTTTAAAAGGAATCGCCCTCCATCAGTGAAACTCTTGCAAACTCTTCTGACGCATGTGGGCTGCGCTGATGCGATAGCCACAGTTTGAGAGCAACGCGCCCTCCATCCGCCAAACTATTGAACACTGTTACAACGAATGTGCGCGGCGCGAGCCTTTTTTGAAAACGACCCGCCATCCATCCGTGAAACTGTTGCAAAGTTCATTATACAGGATCATGCACTGTGAGAAAGACTTAGGTGCAACGCCTGTCCCGCCCTACCCACCCGTCTCGGGGTGCGACAGGGAGGAGTTGTTTAGAAGGAAAAAGGATGGATGAGAGGGAGCAGGGAGAGGAGGATGAGGCGGAGGATCGAGGCGGAGGAGGGGGAGGAGGAGCAGGGGGCATAAGGAGGAGGACGGATAACGCGGAAGGGACAAACAGGGAGAGTGAAGGACACACAAGGGCGTATTTCGTCGCCAGCGGGCATGAGAAAAGACGGGCAGCTGTGGCAAGGGACGAGACGCACCACATCGGATGGATTTCGCAGACGGGGGAGCCTGCAGACTGCCCCTG